GTAGCACTGTATATATAAAAAATCCAGTTTATTGTGCATCACTTGGCTCTTTGCAGGCAATGAAGCACAAGGCAAACGTATGAAACCCCCTGACAGAGGATAATCAACCAAGAATCTCCTTCCGAGTTTACTGAGCAAAGCCTGGCGTCTCTCCCACTGGCACCAACAGGTCAGTGTTCTTGCTCACATTCTCCCACTTTGGTAACAACTGGAGAAATGGGCCTGGTTGGACCTTTCCTGTGGATTTCCCTGTCTGACTGACATGCCAAATACCGTGGCTGATAGGACAGCTCTTCATCCCATCCCCTCTTTGGATTCTGGCTTCTGACCTCTGGCTTTGGAGTTTGACTCCTGATGCTGAACGCAGCTCGATTCCTTGTTTCAGTTTGCCCGGACGCTCTCAGTAAGTGCCTTGATTGTTAGTGATCAAGTGAACAGGGAATTAAGCAAATAATGGTGAGAGCGGAGTACAGAAGACAACTGAGAAAGATGAGGGAGAGCAATATTGTGACCATTAGTAGAGCAGAAAGAAGAGATTAATGTAACAATAACCATGAGCAATAAAGGACAAGAAACTCAACTTCTTGCCAGCACAAAAAGTAGGAAACCAAACTGCAGCTGTGCTGGTTTGGTTTGGAGGCTGTGACAGTGAAGGAAGTCAAGAGGAGAAAATTGCAATCAACACTGAAGACATGACCCATATGGGTGTACTTCGGTATCACGGACAGAGTGAGAAATTCAGATTTTATAGGTGTTGTGTTGCATCATAGAAGAATTATGGGATTATCATGGGGGAAAACAGGGAATACAATGAGAATTTGAGGGAATGTCATTAACCACGCATGCTTTCTGTTAAGTTCTGTTCAAAACTTTATCTCTACTTCCTCTGAATTACTTTGTGCTTATCTTAGAGAAGCAGGAAAAAAACCCAAAAGATCGAGTAGATAGAATATGACTGAAAGTCAAAGAAAACATGAATGAATGAGGAACAGATGCCTTAGAGCTTTCTTGACCAGCATACGTCTACTGTGTTCACCGATTGCTCTCAGTAGACGATTCCCCTGTCATCTAGGATAGGGCTTAATCTCAGATTACCTATAATTTTTTTTCTCTCCCAAAGCATGTCTTAATTTCTTTGCCCACACCGCACTTAGGTCCCTCCAGCCTACCACGATCTCCAAGATAATCAATTCCCACCCTCCTCAGGTAGGTCCCTCAGAAACATCTCTACATCCCAAAACGTCTCTGCCAGCTCCTCACTATCGTTTGCATAGATGCATGACAGCAAAGCTGTTCTTCCTGTACAGTGTTAGTCATATTGTTCACTTCAAACATTTATCCACTTAGGAAAGCAATCCTACACAGGCTCCACATTCAGGAGCCTCGTGTCTCTTTTCCTTGTATATATTTAGGAAATCTGACTTCTGATACAACTGACCTGTTTCTCAGCTATGTCTTTGGATTGCATCTGGGATGTGTCAGCACTGCTAGAGACACTTCAGTGAAGTCCAAAAGGAGAAGATAAATTGCACTTGGAGACAGGGGAGAACTCTTACACCACATGTAATACACGTTAGTATGCATTATGTATGGCTATGTTACATATATTATGCACAGCTAACATTTTCCACTTCCCTCTCTTTAATAACGAAAATATCTCCAACACAGTTCTGCTCTAGACTCCTTACCCTCGCTCCACCTTATATCTGATAGCATCTGGAATAAGCAATGGTCAGCCTTTTTTCCCCTGGCTGGGGGATGCAGCACTCAGTGCGATACTCGGTACGTCTGCAATGTTAAACCGTCCTCCCTTCATGCTCTTTTCAACCCTCCCCAGCTGCAACCAAGCCAGTGGGGGAGGGAAATCCTCACAGTCAAAGCCAGAAAGCACTTAAGGAAAACAAATAATGTTGCTAAGGAACTGTTAAGATAAACTCAAACCCACAAAATCCAGGAAATAGAAAGGAGTTCATAGGCTCTTTTCAAACACGCACCACTCATTGCTCTCAGTGCTCAGTCTGTCACATTATACTAGCACAGAGCTAAGGCTGCGATTATACGCGCCCAGGACTGATTCCCAAAACCATGGGAAACCCAAGAACCTAGCATGTTGTGTCACTCAACAATATCCACCTTTCTTCCTACTTTTTTAAATTATACCACACATAAAAAGAGCCAAGTAAACTTACAGCACAGGTAGAATATAAATTCTACATACATCATTAGCTGCCTATAATGACATAGCCTAATCAACAGCAGCAATGAAGATGCCGGCAGCACAGCTGGGCAACATCAGCATACAAACCGAGGGTCCACAGGAGGTACAGATTGTACCCCTCCCTGCCGTTGCCATCCTGCCAGCCAGACTAAAGACAGCACGGGCTTGACTGCTGATTTGCAACTCCACCTCCATTTTACTGCACAGGTACAGCCTCGGGAGCCACGCTTTGCCCACAGGAATTTTCTTCAAACCAAACTCATTACTATGCTTAACCCGTAAATAAAGCTATCTCCAAGTAGTGGGGAGGTAAGAAGATGAAAGCCAAAGGAAAGCGGTGAGCGTGCCAGTTATGCCTTGCCCGTGCCACGCAGACCCTGGGGCCATGTTTATGTTTTCAGAGCCCGGTGAACTCTGGAAGCAAGGGGCAAACGAGGCAAGGCAAGCCCTGCTCCTCAGCTGCCCTTTGAGCACCATGTTCTGTTGCCCATGCACACAGCTACATTGCCAGCACCTGACAAGTTTCCTCACACCTTATAAGACTCTGGGAAACACGAACGTGCCACTAGAAAGGTTATATTTAGCCCTCCTATCTCCATTCACCTTGAGTTAAATCAGATACTCGGAAAGGATCTGATCATATTGGCCTTCATTAAGCCTTGTGGCTTAATCAATGCTTCACAGCAAGGCTGAAACTTCTCTGAGAGAAACGAGGTGAACTCAGTTGCTAATTTGGCTTCATCCTGTCTTGTCATACAGAGATCAGAGTGGTTAATTTCTGTGTGAAAAATGTTTCCACTTCCCGCTCAGAGTGGCAACGTTTTGAGTAGTACAAAGTATTTATTAGAAACTGAGTAAATTTTAATCCTTGCTAACCACATAACTTGAAGGTGAATAGCATAAAAAAGCATAGACTAAATATCCTTCCACTATATCCCAGATAATCTCTCCTTGCCTCACATATCTAACGCATTTGTCCACCACGTGGCTGTATTTCACCAGTACAAAAACTAAGAATAAAAGGGTATTGACACAAACAGCCACAGGTGTGGGACATGAGGCGCTTCAGGTTCCACCTCTAGTCAGCAGAGGCAAAAGACCCTGCAAAGGGTGAATAAATGCACCAGGGTTCTCCCCATTGACAGATTTCCTGTGCTCGAGGACTTTGCATCTCTCCGAAGCTGCACAGTAACCACATCAGCAGTCAGAAGGTGTAGTAGCCCTCGCCTGACCGAGCTTCCTCTTCATACAAGGAGCAAACCAGCAGCAGCATTAAACAAAACCAGTGCCAGGATGCAACAGCTTACCCGAGGGCTACTGCTGATTAACTGTCTCACTTTTTACATTAAGAGGTAACAGAATGTTAGATGGTCTACATCACTTCTACGAAATCCAGTTTTTAAACACCAAATTAAGCACCAAAATTAGCTTCCAAATTAGGAAAATACAACTTCGAGTCTTTTAGGACTATGGGCATGCTGCCTTTTATGAACTTACAGTCTTTTGCTATTACTTTTATGACTCTTAAGTTTGTAAAAGACAGCATGCTGATTAGTACAATTCTTCTGCAGCCATTACCAAACTTGGCTTTCAGTCAAAAGCATAGTGATTTGTAATTCAGAAAGATATGGTGGGAAATACAAATCTGAAACAGCTTATGGAATTATCAATTTCTCAAACACATGGTTATAGATCAGATAAAAGGATCTAGAGACAGCCATGCAATTATTTTGTGCAATGATACAAAAAAAAAAAGTAATACATGGAAGATAAGTATGTTTGTGCCCTCAAAAAAATCCCAAACTTTTAAAATCCTTTCTTTTTCACACTACAAGCTTTATCAAACCAGCACATCAAGAACATCACGTGTGGCATTTGCACAGCCACAGTTATGGCTCAGATCTCATGCAAGAAGAGCAAAGCTGCCCAGCAGCTTCCACCCAGGATGCAGAACACAAGTGAAAATAACAAACCGTCTATTTTTAATGTGACACTTCAGATGATTACACTGAGAAAACTAACAAGAAAAGATAAAGTATTAAAAATGTAACTAGGATGAGCAAGCTTGCTGTGTTCATGATTAAATGTGTACGCTTTTAGCATAACTATGCTAAAGGGCAGTCAAAGCTTCCAAAGAGACAAGCAGAAGAAAAAAAGCAAGATTTTTCCAATATGTTCCAAAACAAGAACACCACACCGAAGTCTCAATCTCTCATCCCCTTTACTCAAGTCTTTAACTGAGTCTCCACTAACTCATGAGCACAAATTTAGGAGGAAAGCAGGGTAAGAAGAAAAGACTCGCACGTTTCATGGTTGCTTCACACACTTCCATTCTGGGCACAAATCAAGCATCAAAGACTAAAATTCAAACTGTAAAGGTTTCATTTATGCCTAAAGCAAACATCAGGCACTCTGCTACCATGGTGATGAACACAGTGAAAACACCTTAATCACTCCCGATTCTGTAAGTGTAAAGCAAGGCTTGGTGCAACCGTTGACAACACAGTCTGGCATCAGACACATATTGTGAGTTCACACTTTAAAATATGGTTTATAGAGTATTGTGGTTGTGCAAAAACCAAAATACATAAGCAACAAACAAACAGAGAAGTTGTGTTGTGTGTATTGTGTGTATATATTACTTTGGTCCTGCACAGAATTTATACGATGAGCTGATTGATCAATGGTTCCCAGCATAATAGCTGTAGAACCGAGTGGGAAATGAGTCACCTGCTTGACTGGCATATGTTTGCTAACACCAAGAGAATAAATACTCAGCTTCGGAAAACTAAGCAAGTTATATCACAGTTTTTATTTTAAATAACCATGTTCGATGTCAAAGCTCAATACCCCCATGTTCCCTTTAAAATGACAAACCATTAAAAAGATATTTTTATAAAACCAAAGCTAACAGCAGCTGAATCTTTTACGTCTGACACATTTATATTACAATATGTATACTAAATTTGAAGGTACAAAGAGTTTTCAAAGCTGTTCCAGACTATCAAGCTGATTTTGACTTTTTGGGACTAACACCACCATCTTCAGCTGACTTTTCTGCTGGCCTCTTTTTTAACCCTTTCATTTTTCGTGTCTGCAGTTTACCAAGATCTTGTTTCTGCATGTGGATTCGACCATAAGTTGTACCGAACACATCATGGGAGATATTCTTTTTCTTCTTAGGCTGTAAGGGAAGAACAACATTAGTATTTCTGAGTAGAGAGTGCCAGGAGCTCCAATGAGAATGATGTGTCTAAAAGCAAGGCTGCATACATTGTTCAGAGCTTAGAGATTAACATTTGTTCTGTATGTTCTATATGCTTCCAGAGGAGAGTGCGTATGCCAGCTGATCACCACAAAAGTGCTGTGGCCCTAGAAATCTCAATTGGCCTACACAAAAGTAATCTTTTGACAAATATACAATAATTAACACTTCAGCTTTTGCTCTTCTTCATCGATAGATCTGGAAGTAATATACTTTCAAAGGTACATACCTTCAGGGCTTTCGGTTGTTTTAAAGACAGCTTATAAAGGTCATCTGAAGCTAAATGTGTCCTCCTCATAACCAGATCTAATGAAGGCCCCATCTCTTCTAGTTCAATTCTTGGTATTTTACAGCCAGATTTCTTCAGAAGCACCCTAGGAGGAAAAAATAACCAAAAATGAACATTGTCCTCTGTGATAAAGATTTATCCATCTTCCTAAAGGGCAGGTTCAATCCCGTAGTTCTGAAGACTACTAAAAACAATTGCTACTGCTAACTCTGTTATTGAGAAAAATGTCTATCAATAACAATTTATAATATATGAAGTCTGTCCCATGACAATTTGAACACACTCAAAATACAACCTGGTTAACGTAACTACTTTTTTTTTTAAAAATGAGATCAGTATTATCAGTATTACTCTTAAAACTCAGTCTCAGTACTCTGAAAGCTGTATCACTCCTCAAATTCAAAATAGTCCCCTAGGTATTAATAGACGTGAAAAATATTTACTATAATTTACAGTAAAATAACCTGAGCCCTAACAGAGAAAGTTTGTTGTTTGTTTTGTTTTGAAGAACAAGACTGATAAAAGTGATTTTGTTGTAAAGAAAATCAAAATTGCAGGGAACACAAGCTATGAATGCTCACAGCCTCCTAAGGCAAGGCCATAAACTGTCAAGGTGAACACCAGTGCAGCAAGAAAGACTGTCTTGTCCTGCCTGCTCCTGTTTTTCCTTGCATATGGCGGGCTGCAGTTGTTCTCTGAAACACCGCAGTGAGGAGAGTCCTAGAAATCAGCCTGAGAACAGACTAAGTCTGTGAAGTCCAAGACAGTACTCTTAATTCTTCAAGTTAATTCACACCACCTTACTAATCCAACCATGTGCAAGAACAATCCTCCTAGCTAGAACAGGGACCTCAACAAGGAAGGAAGCAGCAGGTTTAGGTCTTAAGTGTTTTCCTTCTCCTGTGCAAGTTACTCTGTGTTACGCTGGAACAGCTCTACACATGACATGTTTTCAAAGCAGCAAACTATTGCTCAAGCCAGTTCAGTTACACAACTATGGGCTAAACTGGGGGAAAAGTTGACAAGTGTACCAAACAGCAAACAAAAAGATAAAGCACACACTCACTTATAGCTTCGCATGTAAATTTTCCCATCCACAGCTGTGAAATGCAGAACGTACTCTAAACCAGCCAGACGAATACTGGGCACGCTAGGACCTCTGAAGAAATCTGAAAGAATATTGAAAGAGAATAAATACCAGGTTTCTTGGCTGAAAATCAAACCCATGTGACTAAAACAAATTGGTTTATTTCGTAACAGACCTGCATCACATCACTCATGTGAACCCCTTGCCTACATCGATAAATTTTGCTGCATCTCTAACTAGACAAGGCTATACACGTGATGGCTCTAGAAAAGCTGAATCTGTATGTTTAATGGGAATCTCTCGCAATAGCTGCTACTTAAAACTGCAGCCCTGCCAAAACACAGGAGAGAAACTTAACGTGGCACGTGTTAGCTCCTGCACTGGTGAAACCAGGCATGTGTAGAAACCCTGACAGGAACACAGTGACTTCTTAGAGATAACCTGGTAGCAATACACATGCTACCTAAAAATAAGTGCATGGAGAAGAGCAAATATACTTTCAGAGCAGTAACTTAGCTTTGTTAAGCTAATTGGGATAAGTGCATTTTCTATTCTTCTAAATATTCGGCTCTAAAGTAAAAAAAAATGAAATGTATTTTATTCTGTGTTTAGGTCAGTTCATGCTCAGCTACACGTAGATCAATACAGAGGAGTCATTAGTTCAGGTATCTGTTTAAAGACGTCGTTCAAAAAAATGATACTTAAGATTCTTAATCAGAGCCAGACCTGGAAGAGCACAAAGAAGGATCAAAACCAGCACAAAACAGATCGACACTGTACCTTGTCTGCTCTTACCTACACTTTCTCTCTCTGACTTGGGGAATAAGTTTACCTACATCATTTCTTTCACACCTCCCCCACAGAAAGGCACTTTTGTCATTCAGGTAAAGCAGTATGTGTCATTACGATTAATGTTTTCTCTATTTAATAAGCAACACATCTATAAAAATATGACACTTGAAATACTTGCAGAGAGGACACTGAAATACGGGTTAAATACGAAATGAGCTGTCTCTAGTGAGGTTCTTCTACCAGGCTATGAAAAAAATACCGTGCAATTGGAGAGCTTGCAGTAAGCACAGCAATCTGTCCAGCATATGCAGAGGGTGGAGAAAGAATGTGACCTTGACGGAGGGAACAAGGTGTGCTAATAAACATGACAGGGCGATGCTGAAACATAGGAGAACTGCTCACAGATGCAAAACACATCAGTCTTTTCCGCTGTGTCCCATTTTCAGATCCCTCGGCTCGTTGTCTTTTCCTCCACTACCTTTTTCAAGAGTATCAGCAGTGGAGTGACATCCAAAACAAAGTCTTGCTGGCAGATATCAGCTGGAGTCTAGCCAGGAAATTTCCTTGGTCAATTAAATACTCTCTCTCCTCCTCTGTTGGTTGAGCTCATAGCAAGAGGAGAAGTCGCAAACAAAATATTTGTTCGCTTCTGGCATATATTTTCCCTTCAACTAGTTCTCTGCAGGTACACAAGCTTACATTTACAGTGGTTTTATTGGCAACATCTCCCTTTCACACTTTCCTGTGGTATCATACATCTTTCTACCCACAGGATGATCTCTTCCAAATAAATGCAGGTGGTCAGGAATTTCTGTTTCCTGGCAATGCTGAACAGCTGCAGAAACTTTATGCTTCGGTATACCCAGAAAGTTGAAGTTTTTTTCAACGTACTCGTAATTTACAACTCTTGCTTTGGTTGGACTAGAAACTTGCTTTCTCTCTTCTTTCCATTCCTAGTTCTTTCTCCCCTTGTGCTCAACATGTTTCTAGAACTTCTGATTTACTTTTTCCTGGAGAGAGTTTCACAGGACCTTTCTATTTTCAGACTAAATTCCTAAATTATTTTGGAACATAAGTGGATAGACTTCTTTTTGTATCAATTCATATCGAAAAGCTGGTAACACTGCAATCAATGTAGCTACGGTCAGCGTTACCAGAGTTCAAACTCTATCCCAGCCATTTCCCAGCCATTCCCTTTCTTGGCCAGAAGGAACCCACAAAGCTTTGAGACACTCAAAAAAGTCAGTGTGAGGAAGGCTGTATGAAGAACACGCTGATGGTCAATCTAAAACTGCAGAGGTCTCCTGGAAACCAACATTTTAGAAAGTGTATAAGCAAGTCATGTAGTGCCCAGCCATTTTTAAGATGAAATGGGTGTGCAATAACAGAACTAACAAGCAGGCAGTGTTGTGAGAGATTAAACATTTTATAAATACAAGCATAAAAAGTTATTAGAATTTCATGAACTGCATTCCAAGGAGTTATATTGTAAACGAATTCTTACACTACCACATCAGCAGGCAACAAAAATCAAAAGAGAAAGAATGGGATGTCTTCCAGGTCTCTAAAGAAAAACGCAGCTGACGTTTTTTTCTCCTAAATAACTTACTGCATTTCACAATTTAAGCAGTCTACAAGGTTTGGTGACCATGAAGACAATAATTCACCATTGCCTTTAATTTTACAAAGAAACTGCTGTAAGATGATATTCCAAACATGCATAAATCCTTCTGATACCACAAAAGCAAAGGAAAGCTTAGCTGTTCACCAGCATCACTGGCATCACATTGCTTTGGCAACAAGAAGCTGTTAGCTGCCTAATGTTCCCGCTGGGATCCCAGCAATAGTGCTACAGTAACAAAATATTTGCTGTTGTTGTTACATTTTTCTCTCTTTCTTAGCAATAGAGTGGCTGTTTAAATGCACTATCTTAGCAGGAGCAGAAAGAATAAGTTCTTCCCTATGAGTTAATACCAGTTTTGAAGCAGGTCAAATGATTGCCCAAATTACTTTTTACATATTTACACTCCTTAATCTTTCTTTTGTCTATTGTTCCGCATCTAAGTATTTCATAGAAGCCAGCAGAACATTAAGACCTGAGTCCTTGGAGTATATTCAAGAAGAAAGATTGCTTGTTGATTTGAGTACATTTGACTGCCAAGTCATTAAAGGCAAATTAAAATGGAGAGGAGAAAGGACAGATGAACATCAAAAGAAATAGGACAGGAAAGACCATTTAATTATTTGGCAACTATCTAACGATGCCTGTCTTCCATTTCAGATACCAGGTTGTTTGATCATGGGGTGCATGAGCACATCTGGATGCCAATCACCAACACTGCACAGATGCCTGACAAGATACACTTCAGAAAATAATGCACTTGCTTCCTGCAGTGTAAATATTCCTTTATAGGGACACAAACATGCAGTATTAAAACTTACTTATCTTACTCAATATTCACTTCTTCACTATTCATCCACCTTCAAATGTTTATAAGCACAGCCACTAGCCTTTCACCTGTCCCCAAGAACCAGTCAGCTGTATTGAGAGGGTGCAAATTTTCTCCTCTCGTGCTCCCTTTTCAGTCTCATTCCAGATTAACCACCTTGCTTCAAGGAATTATAAGACTGAGGAAAAAAAATAAATCTCAATTCTAAGGTCTGTTTCTAAAAAGCAATCATTTATCTGTTTGCCTAGAAAAAAAGAGCCCAACCAATATTTATTTTATACGAAAGGGAAACCTTGCAAAGCTGTAAGATTATGAAACAGTATAAGCCAAGAATGGAACAGGAAGAACAAGACTGTTCTTATTCGGCCAGTTTCAGTAACTTATCAGAGTTTAAGAAAAAAAAAAAAAGTAATCCACTTCAAAGTAATCTCACTTTAGGAAACCTAGTAAAAAGAAAAACACCACCACCCTACTTAGCAGATCTAGATCCAGTTTTACCAAGCAAGATATATTTTTTTAGGTGTCAAAAGATACAGTACCATATGACTTCTATGTCCCAAAAAGCTAGCCTAAGAAAAGTTCAGTAACTTCTTGTAGGTCCCCAGAAAAAAAAAAACAAACACACAACGTGCTTTATCTTCCAGAGCCTCCAACCTTGAGATAGCAAAAAACTTTACACCGGTTTGTTTACTAAGCTCCAAGCCTACCTTGAAGGTATGACACAGCTCTTATCTACAGCTGATTCCTACTGCACATAATCTTTCCAAATACTCTAATCCATGGCACTTTTGTTAGAACTGGTCAAATGCTTTCGTTACAAAACTTAATCTACTAATTTCAAATTAGATACTTCGAAAACATTATTTGGTTAGAAAAGTGATGATACAGTACAATTGCAAGGTAAAGTCTTTTTGAAAAATGCCAGAATTTTCCCACAATCAAAATCGTGAATTTTGGTGAACAAAAAGTCTCAACTCCAGAGTCTTTCAGGCTAGTCTTTTTTGTCTCCTCTAACAGTCATGATGATCAGTTAACTCTAATGTGACATTAAATTTAGAAGTGCTTGTTCTTATTTTCTTTCTGTGCTGAACATAAGCAAACATTTATTGACAAACCTGCGTTTCCCAACAGTTTTCCAATCATATTACTACAGATTTATGCAATCCTACTGCTCAAATAAACAAAATACTGACCAATAAGAAGGCTCTTCAGTCTTCTGTATTCTTCACTTACTTCAAACATGTCACCAGCAAATATCAACATAGGCTTTGTGCCTTCAGGACATTTACTGTTCTGCAGAATAAGAATTTTAAAACAGAACAAAAACTCAGACTGTGTTAGGGAGCATGTTATTGACTTAATAGGTGGTTAGTCATTCAACACTGAATGAAAAATTGTTGTGATGTGTGATCAATATGGACAGAATAGACACTTTTTTTCTCATTGAACAACACTGTACGTGTATGGAAGGACTTTGTTTTTAAAAGGGTGAACAGTACTGTTCTTTGCGCTGGATTAAAAAAAAAAGAGAGATTCTTTACTATAAAACATATAGGGTAACACCTTCTGGTGAAAACAAGTGAATTTGACTGCAACTACTAACAAGAAAACTAAAATTAAAGGCACATAAGTCTGTTGTACTTCTGATACTGCAGAGTACAAGAAAAAGAATACTTTAGCCAATCATCTAATTTTAATTCTGGCCAACAAATACATTTACTTAATTATAACATCCCTGCTATAAACAGCGTTATGAAGATACACACTACAATCTGACTTCAAAGGGAAGATTCACCTTTATAAACCATAATTTCATCAGTATCTCTCTAGACTGTCCTGTGAATTTGTAAGCTGTGATAAGAACAAGGACCATAAAAAAAATAAAAATCCTTATTTCTGCAGTGTATGAACTGTTTGATACAAAAGTGTGCACATATGAAGTATGTTTTAGTCTCGCCAAAATGGGCCTAACATAGCCATAAAAGGTAGATTTTGTCTGGGTTTAAATAATCAAGCTGTTAGTTCCCTGTCTGAATTAAGTGTAGTTCCCTGAAAACTGGTTACCAAAACGTGCTACCAAAAGCTAAAGAAACTTTCAGAATCATCTCAGTCAGCAGAGTGACCCTCTTTGGTTACAACTTGAGAAGAGGGAGTTCAGTTTCCAAAGCCTATGCCAGTTTATATAGGAACCTACCATGAGCAGAACCTAAGGAATTTTGTAAATGTAACTCTCTAGTTAGGAAAGTATTAGGAATAAATCCAGTCTAAAAAAAGAATTTGCAAAGAAAGTTGCAAGCTTGCTCAAAACAACCAAAGTAAAATAAAAAGCAGACCATAAAAATAACATTCTGGGGTACACAAATCAGCAATCCTCTTATACTGCATGAAACGCTTTTTTAAACAACTCCTGTCCTTACTTCGAAGCACAGAAAAAGCCAAGGCACCAAAAAAATCCACCAGCAGATGTCACTGAAATACTGAATCAGCGATTCCTTACCTTGACATCTTTTAGGGATACGAACTTCTCAACACCTAGTTCAATCATGTCCAGGACATGATAGTCAAACATGCGACCTGTGAAAGTAAAAAGAGAAAATTCAGCTATTTCAATAGTCACTGAAAACTTGACCTTTCATGGAAATAAAAACCCAGGTGAGACATATTACCTATTATCAGGTTGTTAGGCCGCTTCTTGTTATGAGAGCCAAACAGAAACAAAGAACAATCTGATTTCTTGGAAAAAAATTCCTACAATTGAGGAAAAGAATACAATTCATGAGTTCCAGTTTGTAGCATTTAAAATACCTGGTGAAGGTATCTGTCACAAACACATGAGTTCAGGAGCGGCTTAGCGAGAAGAGCAACTGCACTGATCGAAAAAACCAGATCCACATAAGCTAAAACTGACAGCTAGACTCAAGGTTCAAATAACAATTAATTTCTTTTTTTATTTCTGATTGCAGTCTTAAAGATCAAGCCAGGCAATTTTTTCTTGTAATTTTATCTGTAATGCCCTTCTTCATAATTCCTCATTATTCGTTTTTACATAAGATAATCTTCAGGCAAGGAGAAGTGGTTGAAGGTAAGTATTTGCAAGTTGGCTGCAGTTGTCATGCTTCGTTTTAGTTACCCAGCTAAGCTATTTGCAGCATATCAGCTTTGCCTAACAGCTTCTGAACAACCAGTTAATTCCCTCAACAGCAAGTCTAGGAACATCTGCAAACATATGTGAGAACATAGATATGTTCTCACACTCGGGCACAAGAGTCCTACTACAGAGCAACTTCACATCAATTTATTGTTTAAGACTAAGACGCTACTTAAAACCAAGCCAGTGGTGCCTATCATACAGATCTTTTCTCCAGGTGGAGTCGATAGAGAACCTATTATGGTATTACGTCCAGAGTCAACATCACAGCAATTCCTTCTGAGGATGCCCAACCCCAAAGCCTTTTTATGCACTGCTGCTTCTCAAGGCAGCCACTGTGGTTCCTAGATATACACACACGCTATTTATCCAGTAACTCCCAGAAGTACCAGAGTATCTACACCTGCACTTAGCAGCTGTAAAGCAGAAAAAGCTGCTGCATCCCCTCCCACCCCTGCAGCAGAATCAGCTCAGAGAGGATATTGCAGCTCTGCTCCTCTGGAAGGTCAGGAGAGACACTTCCAGGAGCACTCTCAGGCTGGATGAATGAATTGCATGTACAAATCACACAGCTTAGCACTGAACTCTGCCACCAGGTCCCTGAAAAATACTAAGACAGATCAAGAACAGACCAGAGGGGACTCCCCTTGAAACACTTGCTCATACAGCTCTGTTAACCACTGTGTTAGATGATCCGAGGGCTGGAGCACCTCTCCTATGAAGACAGGCTGAGAGACTTGGGGCTGTTCAGCCTGGAGAAGAGAAGGCTCCGGGGTGATCTTATAGCAGCCTTCCAGTACTTAAAGGGGGCCTACAGGAAAGCTGGAGAGGGACTTTTTACAAGGGTGTGCAGTGATAGGACAAGGGGCAATGGATTTAAACTGAAAGAGGGGAGATTTAGATTGGATATAAGGAAGAAATTTTTCACTCAGAGGGTGGTGAGACACTGGAACAGGTTGCCCAGAAAAGTTGTGGATGCCCCATCCCTGGCAGTGTTCAAGGCCAGGTTGGATGAGGCTTTGGGCAAGCTGGTGTAGTGGAGGGTTTCCCTGCCCATGGCTCAGGGGTTGGAACTAGATGATCTTTGAGGTCCCTTCCAACCCTATGTTGGAAGTCCCTATGTGAGTCAGCAGCAGCACAGAGCAAACATTCCCATAGATCATGATCACTGGGAAGAAAACAACTAACCTGGGGATAATTCAATTTTGTCTTTATTGTAAAACCACAACTATACATCACCACCTCCTTTCTCTTGTTTTTGTTGAACGAAATACACATACTGCTTTTATGACAGACATATTTCAGCAGCTGAAGTAATGTGTTGATAAAGTGCAAATATGTGAGATATAATCTTGGGATTAGCTCCTGGTTTTTACCTCCCCGCTCATAAATTTTCTTGACCTTAAAGCACTGAATCAACACCAAATCCAGTCAGGGGGATATTACTAAATGGATTTCCAAACACACTCCCCCTTCCAAAATACCCTCCAAGCCTCTGAAGAGCCATTTTTCCAAACTCGTTGCAGGCCAACTACACATATTTAACTGAAATTGCTCAATTTGCTGATGGTCCTTGACCCAATGTTGGAACAAAACTCTCAGAGACCATCTCACACCTGCACAGCTGATATATGTGTTTGCATGTGGTATTCTGCTGGGCTTTTCTTCCCCTATTCAAACACAAGGAAAAGCCACAGAAAGCTATGACCCCTCCCGTTAATTACTTTAACCTGTGAATTCACCAAACTGAAAAAAAGTTGTTCATAAGCTATGGCACTTTAAAGAACTGACTTTTAGAAAACCAAAATAAAACGCTTTATTCTTCCTTTCAATCAAGCACTCTTACTTATAACAGCTTACAGTCTACTAAATTTGCACGTCAGCTCGCAGAAACATGCATTTACAGTAAAGACGAAGTCCTCACAACATGACAATTCTGTCTTGCAGTCAGAGGAAAAAAATGCCTATTGACACCGTAAATCTAGACATAGTCCTACCTTCAACTTTTCCAAACTCCCTATATACTTAGTTTCTCACCTAGTTTCACACAGAGTAATAGAAAACTATCCTTTATGACTTTAAGGCTGTAAAATATGATAAAAGAAGATGTGCTTTATACTTACCAGTGATGTTTGATCCTCAAAAGGCCTGGTAATATTTTTCCTGAGAGGAAGAAAAAAAGGGGAAAAAAAAAAAGAGAAAGATTAAAAAAACAACAGGCCCAGACAAGCACTTCTAATAGTTCTCTGACAGCATTAAGATTCCACCTTCTACTGGAAACTCCACCATTAGAGGTTCAGTTTTAGCTCAAACCATACGGCACCTTAATACCACCAAGAGTTCCTTAATGACACCGTCATAATTTTAAGCACTTTCTTCCAGGTTTCCTGTCTCCTGGGGCCTGACTTCCAGACCATCACCACCAGTGACACTTCATAAACAACAGCCTTTGGTTGTTCATCCAACATTAAAGTTAGCTGTGTTAAAGTTATTACAATTAATGTCCCTGCACTACATCCATACAGATACTGAGCTCCCATTTTGAGCAAGACGTACCTATCATTATAATCTGTAACTGAAATTCATAAGAATTCGGATGCAAGAACTCCAGCTTACCTACCAGACAGAACCTCACTAGCTGTTTGCACAGATCCATCAGAGAAGACAACTGAAGTCGGCTTCAAGCTTACTGAATCCTGCTCAGTTAACACTTGGCACAGAACTGGGCTCAGCACCAACACTGATCACGTGTAGCTTGTTTCCCATCCACTGAAATTTATGATGACTCAGTCACCTTCTACAACCCCTTCCGTTGTTCAAGCCCTTATGCTAGCCAGCATCTCTGTTCATGCTTTGAGATTGCCACTGTCTTGTCAGAAGACTCAACAATGTCAAAGTGAGACCACTTACTTTTTATACAGCACAGCAAAAGGTTTCTTCACAGCATACTGCAAAAGACAAAGTTAAATGTGTGTTACTCTAATGCATTTAAGTACACAGCCCTGCTTTTTCTGAAACTCAGCAACTTACATGATCACATGAAACAGAGTAACTGTCCGGGCAAATCAGTCTAGAAAGGAAGTAAGCTCAAAATGTCTGCTCACAATAATACCCTTCAAGTCAGTAGTACTAATCTTGGTTCAAAATTAATTGCAGAGGGACTTATTTCTAGCAACTAAGAAATAACAAAGTAACTAGAAACAGCTGAAATTAAAGCCACATAATGGAATCTCTGCTTCCAGCAACATAAAGAAAAACAGGGAGTGAACAACCACCTGATTATCATCAGCATAAGATCGTAACAACACAACAAAGCAAGGAGAGAAAAGAGTACAGGAACAGCTGTAATATTTTCAGGTATGGAGTTATGAGGCAGGATTGGTAAATTTAAGTTCTGGGAGCAGCTGAAAGCTCCACATCAATACACACAAACAGTTTACAGGATTCTGGGATGTGACTTCAGCTGTCAGTCCCAATTCTGTACCTAATACTCTCATTTTCAAATGGACTTGCAACACTTCACCTGATATACTGGACAACCATGGGAAAAATAATAAAGAGAAAAAGCTCAAAACTTCTGGCAAAGAAGAAACTAGAAGACAATAATCTCCACCTAGGGGTAGGTAATGACACCTTTGGAGCACCGGTTTATCTGAGATTTAGGGAACAAGGAGAGTGCGAAAATACTGATCTTTCAGCACAGAATATGCAAATTGTAAGAAAAAGAGAAAGGAAGGTACTCTTGGTGAAGCACAAAAGGTTATCTAATTAAAGTTACATACTCCATCCAACAACTTACAATGTCTTTAAGCACTTCAGTCACTGTTAAATTTGCATTTCCTCCCTTTATGAGCATAGCATTTTTTGTATTTTCTTTAAGTTTGGGTTCTCTCTTCTCAAGAAACCTTTTTGCTCTCTTAGTTTTTGGCTTTCTGTAACAATAAATTAACAGTTAAAAACTTAATATTAGTAACAACACTCGACACTGCAGAAAAGAGTAAAACAAAACAAGGATTGGAACAAGCTGTGTTCAAGTAACACATTTCAGTGACTCCCGACTAATTCCAACCTGCAGAATTACAATCAGTGGTAAAAGCCCAGTCTCAGATGAATGTGTTTTACTGCCACTCCTCTTCCTCTCTCTGTCCCCCCAAGCTAGCAAAGGTGATTCTACAGTCTTGGGCTTTTCAGTTTCTGCTAATTTAGAGCTTATGCTATACCAGAACGCCCACAGACTACTGACCAGGCTGAAAGCTTCCCTCACACCACCTCCCTCCCCCAGTCAGAGACTGGCATATGAGAAGAAAATAAAGTTCCTCAAAGACCATCAATGGCATCCAAAAGAAAAGCTCAAGCATGGCATATCTGTGAGCACGAACCAGACAGCAGTACCGCGTGTTATTCAGGTGAAATACCAGCCTCAGCAGGGGCACAGAACTTATATAAATTAATAACTACATGGCTTAAGAGCTACACTTCTCCACTAGACGAATGTCAAGCTTTTCGTATCTTCGCCGTGAATCATTACATTTATTTTTTTTAACAAACGAGAAAACCCCACACAGGTACTTCCAACTATAGACGAAGATAGTTCTTTCAAGCGTAGAGAAATACATAAATTCAACTCCAGCTGGTCACCACGGTTCCTTTAAGTCACCGACGGAGCGAGGGCTGCCTGCCACCAACACAATCACGGCGGCGCTCAGTTCTCCTCCTTCCCGCACGTTTTTTCTCCCGGCCAGCCTCCCTCCCTGCAGCCCTCCAGACCGCGGCCGCCCAGGCCCCAGAGCCGCCCGCAGGGCCCATTCCCGCT